TAAATTTCTCTTTTGTTTCACGAGCGATAATATCCTTTCAAATTTTTCTAAAATCGTCATAATTCCGTGCAAATGAACATGCTAAACTCGAATTAACAAGTAAATTATGAAGAAACCTTAACGTTTTGGAGTTATCGACAAGAAAAAAATCGGACTTCTTGTTGGTCATTTTTCCCCCATTACTGCCATCATGAATCCTCATTCACTGTCGAAAGATTTTTGGCCTATTTACTTTTTTTACAAACTTTCCTTGCAGAAAATCATTACGCACTTCCGTAAAGAAATGTAATTTAAAAAAAAAAAAATTTTGGTAAGCTTAGTTTTATTTATAACAAAAACAAATTGAATAATACAATTTTTCCGTTTTGAATAGCAATCACATATGAAAAGAATAAATTAAATAATGAAAAAGCATTTTTTATATTGTAAAATTGAAAATAAAAAAATAATAATTAAAACGTTTACCCTAATTGACACAGCAAGAAAAATACAAGATGAAATCCCACGAACCCTCACTAATAATAAATAAGGGTAAACGTTTTAATTGGATTATAAGTCAATCAACGAGTTAATGGGGTGGTTCTGTGACCAAAGTAAATGTTGTTTGAACTATTATTATGAAAGTGATATTCAGCGACTCTTCTTACTAAACTCTCTGTATACACCTAATAATTCACCTAAGCATATAAATTATTGCGATCTCTACCATTTTTTCTCAACGGCAAGGATTTCAAGAGCCCGTGAATCTTTTTAAATTGTTCAGGGAGTCGGCCTGATTTTAAAAGGGTATCATATGTCGGGCTACAGAGTCTAGGAATGAAGGTGAAAAAGTGTGACACACTGACATTCACATTTATTATATACAGTAGCGTCCAAAACTAAGGGACAAAATTTTAAAACCTAATATTTGTTAGAAATAACAACTGTGAAAAGCTGAAATTTTGACAACTGGTAGTCGTTATCATCCATAATAACATACTAAAATTTGAATCATTTGCAAAAGATAGAAAAAGAATTATAACAATTATTTATTTATTTTCAAAATAGGATCGTCCAAAAGTAAGGGACAAAATTGAGAAAAACAATGTAAACAGGATGCTATATTCAAATTTTTTGATTTCCTCTAAAGAATAAGTCTTACTTAGTCATTTGTAAACGTTGCATCAGCCGACACCACGGCGAAACGCCAAAAACTTGATTACTCTGTGAGACAAGCTATTGTGAAGCTACACAAGGAAAAGCACACCATTAGAGAGATTTCAGAGAAAGTGAAACGTTCCAAGAGTGTTGTAGGCAGGGTTGTTAAATCCTACAATGATACTGGCAAAATAGTTAGTGCTTTTAAAACCGGCAGACCCCGCAAAACCTCGGCAAGAGAAGATCGAATAATGCAGCGTATGTCATTAAAGGACCGTTTTAAGTCTTGCACAGAAATTAAAAGGGTTATGAATAGTACTTCATGTGTTAATGTGTCAAGACAGACTGTTTGTAGACGACTGCAAGAAATAGGGCTGTTTAATCGAACCCCAGGGAAGAAGAAGAGATTAGAGTTTGCAAACAGGTATGTAATTTGGACATATGAAAATTGGGCAAAAGTATTTTTCAGTGATGAAAGCAAGTTTAATTTATTTGGAAATGATGGAAAAACAATGTAAAGAGACGTATTGGTGAAAGATTAAGTGCAAAGTGTACTAAGAAAACTGTCAAGTTTGGGGGCGGAAGCGTCATGGTATTTGGAATGTTTTCTAGCCAAGGTACAATGCCTCTTGTCCGGTTACAAACTCGTGTAAATGCGCAGATGTATAAAAACATTGTTCAAGATCATGTTGTGCCAATCATACAGAATTCAGGTTTCGATAGGGCTACCTTTATGCAAGATAATGCCCCATGTCACAAGGCAAAGGTGGTAATGAGTTACCTTAGCGAGCAAGATTTGGAAATTATGGATTGGCCACCGCAAAGTCCTGACTTAAATCCAATAGAAAATCTTTGGAAGACCTTAGGGAGTGAAAGTTATGGAAAGAAATCCCACTAACACGGAGGATTTGTGGGTGAAGCTTCAAGAAGAATGTTCTAAAATTAGTATCGAGGATTGTCAAGAACTGATTCGTTCTTGTAGTTGAAGATGTGCAGCTGTCATTGAGAGTAAGGGCTCATTTACTAAATATTGATTGTACATGTATTTTTATTGTTTTTTTGCCGTTTACATTGTTTTTCTCAATTTTGTCCCTTACTTTTGGACGTTCCAAATTTGAAAATAAATAAATAATTGTTATAATTCTTTTTCTATCCTTTGCAAATGATTCAAATTTTAGTATGTTATTATGGATGATAACGACTAACAGTTGTCAAAATTTCAGCTTTTCACAGTTGTTATTTCTAACAAATATTAGGTTTTGAAATTTTGTCCCTTAGTTTTGGACGCTACTGTAGATATAATGATTGTAGGAGTAACTTATAACAAATAATAGATACTAGCATGGTGAACATGTTATTAACTTAGATTAGTAAGATAATAGGCTAGAAATAATGTGCGCCAGTAAGAACTGAAATCGCTATAAAGTAGAAACTAGCTATTGCGATGAAACCTAAACACCCCCCTCAGAATCTAGCTTAAATGTCTCCAGACAGGGCTACTTTTAACCTTGTATTCTTTAATTTTATCGCACAAAAGGTAGAAAGCTCAGCGCGAGGAAAACTTTCCATACTCTCCATAGTGAGTAATACTTACCTCAGTAATTTCTGTTCAAAATCTCGTATTTTCCTCTCTGGTCTATTTCCCGCGAGAATTACATGAACAGCTAGGTCACAAGGCAAGCGATACACCGAATATTTATGGTTAGATAATAACACAGCTAAAAAGACGCAAGAAAGGGAAATATAAAACCGTTAATTGACTAAGTGTTTGAAAAGTATTTATTTTAAGTGGCTGAATGTACATTAAATCGACGGTACAATTACATTTGAGCTCCTGACTAACAATGTTTTGAAAAAAAATTATTTAAAGGTAGAGTTGCCGAGGATTTCTCTGTTAAATTTAAGTAGGCGACAACGTAAGATTGTTAGTAAAATAAATATGACAGCTATTAAGTGATTTGTCGGATAATTTTAAATTTGGCACATGTACATGTCCAGAAAGAATCCGCTTTGAATCGACTTATTATTAACGGCTTAAAAGTTAAGCTTGCTAACCATCGCTTTTCCATATATGCTTACGTATTATTAAATAAAAAACTTGTTACAGGATACAAAAATCGAACGTAAAATTTTTATGTCCAAAACATTCATACGAAAGCTCACCGAATCACTTGAAGTAGACTGTTACGTAATATGTTATATGACTGTAACTTTGAGGTGGTGGAAGAAAGAGAAAATTATAAGAATAAGGAGTATTGACCCTTGAACTGTAAGGGTTAGGGTTAAACTTGAAGTGTTCAGAAAAAAGCATAATTGCAGGAGTCCGTTCATCCGAATTATCAGTTCTTGGAACAAAAACGTTTGAGTGGGATTTTTGCCTAACTCTTGGAATACGGAGGAAATGTTACCACAGAATATTCTAGATGTAAGTATCTGAAGAAGTAGGAATAAAAATGTAGGTCATCTAATCATTTGCCATGGAAGATGGCAATAATCTTGCATCTGTCAGGGTAAAAGCTGCAAAGTGTAGTATAATTATTTTCCAGTTTATCCACACAAATTATTTTGAAGTTAGAAAGCTGGAAGATGAGGATAGTGTAGCTCTAGTCCAGATATGACAGCAATATTCTGTTCTTACTCGGGTCATATACTTGAAAAGATAATGCATGATAGAAGCAGTCAAGTACATCCTGGAGTGATAACTTTTTATTTTCAAAGGGGTTATGGTGATTGATTGCAGCTTATTTAAAGACAGAAAATATTTTTAGATACTATTTTTTAAAAGTTAATAATGCAAATTTTACTTAATATGTTTACGACTGTGGATGTTGATAGTTTTATATCCCAACATTTATATACTTCTTTTTAATCATTTCACCCAAAGCGTGGCAATAGAGCCACTAAGACAAAAGCGATTAATGGTTGTTAGAGAATTTGATGAAAAAAACATTATTACGAAATGAGAACGTTAAAAACACAAGAATTAAAAAGACAAAATAACAATTGATATTTTATTTAATTTTTTAATGATCAAAGTTGGCTAGAAAGCAAGAAACCGGAAGTGTTATCCACAAGCGAAGAGTGCGAATGAAGAAAGTTTTGACGCCCCCTCAAAAAACAAAAATACCGTCCATTACTCCTTAACCACAGGATGCCGTACTGACAAGGCGTGTCCCCTTTACTCTCTGGGGAATTTAATCCTCAGACATGCCGTATCTATCATGGCGATTGATCTTACACCATCATCTTGAATGTGAAATTCAAAAGGGTGGGGGGTTATTTGGTAAGAACTCACAGATAATGCGATAAACTATTGTTTTTCTTTGTACTGGAAATATGAATCCAAAGATTAATGCGAGTCCTGAAATTAAGACATATATAAAAATGAGCCGGTAAGCACGTCATTCTACACGTTTTCTAAACATTTTAATCATTTTCCCCAAAACAAGGCAATAAAGCCACTCAGACACAAGGGTTTAGTGAGCATTAGAAAATATGAGAAAAAAAGACTATTAAGGAGAGTGAACGTTAAAAGAACAGGAATTAAGAAGATAGAAGATAACGCTTGGCACTGCATTTCAATGTTTAAAGGTCAAATTTGCCTGGAAAGCTAGAATCCGGAAGAGTGTTCCACAAGCGAGAAGTGCGACGGAAGAAACCCTTGATGTCCACTCAAACAGAAAAAATATGTTCCTTACTCTTCAACCACAGGATGTTGTACTGACAAGACTCTAGGAAATTTAATCATGGCGGCTCACGTGCTTCGGAGCAATCTCTTTTTATATATATATATATATAAATATATAAAACATTGAGTGCGTGTTGAATTCAATTATTTTTATAGTATTAAGACATTCGAGCGAATGTCGATACAATTTGTGACCACTTGCCCTCGCAAAGTGTAATTCAAAGGGAATATTTTTTGAAGAGCTCGCGGATAATGCGATAAATTATTACTTTTTTTTTCTATTGGAAATATCAATCCGAACATTAATGCAAATTACTGAATTAAGACAGGTAAACATGTAATAATACCTTTTTTTTAATAATTTCAACCCAAGCAAGCCAATAAATCCACGAAACGCTTATTTGTTATTACTCAGATAACTAATCAGATAATATGAGAAAAATACGATTAACCCATTAACTGCCATGAACCCCATTTAAGGATCTGTTAAAATTAAACTCACTGCATGTTATTCCTTGTATTTATATTGAATTGCTTACATACATTGCATTTGCAGAGGTATATTTTACAACACTTAGCCTTTAAAGTTTTTTTTATTAGCCGTAAGAAGAAACTTTTTGTTGTAATCTTACATTTCACGAGTAGAAAAATAATGACTGTTTTGAAAAGTATTGTTTTATTAATTCTAATCAATATTATTTTTTGATGTTTTATACACATATATATTTGATGTTCTAGTTTCTATAAAAATGACAATAGTAACTACAGTGAATTGCTTACATACATTGCATTTGCAGAGGTATATTTTACAACACTTAGCCTTTAAAGGTTTTTTTAATAGCCGTAAGAAGACACTTTCTGTCGCAATTTTACATTTCACGAGTAGAAAAATAATGACTATTTTGAAAAGTATTTTTTTATTATTTCTAATCAATATTATATATACACATATATATTTGATGTTCTAGTTTCTATAAAAAAGACAATGGTAACTACTGAAATAAAACATAAGGAATAAATAAACTCCTAAGACACTTGTCTGGCCAAAAACAGAAATATTGGCAGTTAATTGGTTAAAGTATGAGAACAATAAAAGAACAAGAATTAAGAGGTCAGTATATTCGAATTGACACTGCATTTGAAATTTTGAATTTATTTATATGGTTATGTGGGGATGTTAACGGTTAAACCTAGACTTGAACACGTTAAGATGTTAGTGCTCGGGGAATCATCATCTTAAGAGTCAGCTCCAAAGTGTTTTGTCTGAAGATGCTGATCGAATGGTACTCACATCTCACTACTATGTGCGTGGTATGTTAGGTCTTAGCCGCGAAGTTAGAAACTTGTGGAACTGAACAATGAAGTTCGTCTGAAGACTTTCCATGAAAATATCAATAGAACTGCTAGATGGTTTGTTACACTTTGCCTCAGAGTACGAGTTCCACGAGGTCTGATTGAATTTAAGTCCCAAGAGTCTCTTCAGGCAAGATGCCTTCCTGTTCATAGCGACTGGTGACATATTCGCGTCTGATCGGTGATCATAGAATGTTACTATTGTGGATGTTTATCGAATGCGGAATAATAACCTCGCCAAAAATGTCCTAAATTGAGCAGGCTGAGTTGAAAATATAAAGAAAATTATATAATCATTAACAAAATACTATTGAAACCGCGCGAATATTAATGAGATTCTTCGAGTTTTATGTCAACTTGCTGCCTCTTGCTGCTTCAAAAAAAGACGAGAATCGACAAGTAGAATTTACGAATTTTTTATTACCTACGTTCTTCTACAGCTGTCAGATCAACGACATTTTTGCAACTTCACGATGTTTACGAACGGGGAAATAAAGAAAATCATTCGTAGAAATGACAAGCGAGGACAAATATTTGAAAATTCATTTTTTTTTCGTGTTCCTTGCTATTTAGACATGAAATTTATTTATTTCCCATAAAGTGTCTTCTTTTCGTTTTGACTTTTACCTTTTATTTGATTTTGAACATTCTTTCTTTCGTTACTTTTTGTGAGATTTTGTTCTGTTTTTATTTTGGTTCTTGTTGTTTAATTCATTTGTTAACAAGTCTTTCTCTTTCTTTTTTCTTTTGCTTAATTTCCATTCTTTATTTGATGCTCTTTTAAATTAGCATCATTTCTTTTTTAATACTTCGGTTCATAGATTTATTTTCTCCTTTTGTTTCTCTTTCGGCTTTTAACGTTCCTAGATTTTACTTGGTTTCTCTTTCTTTTATTTCAATTCGTTCTTTCATTTGTTCTTTGTTTTATTCTTTCTTTTGTCGTACCTTCTTTCTTTATATTCCTTTTTCTCACTTTATTTTCTCTTTCCTTTCCATGAAGTTATTATTCTTTCGTTGCTGTCATTTATTATTTTAATTTTATCTTGATATATTCATTCTCTCTTGTTCCTTATATCTTCATATTACTTTTTTTTATTTATTTTGATCGTTTTCTTTCTTTTTCTAGCTTTTCTTTTTCCAAACTGTTTTATTTCCTTTTTTATTCTTTTGCTTGATTCTTTCTTTCTACGATTCTTCTTCATTTATTTCTTTAAATTTATTTTACTATTTATTTTCTCTTTTCTATTCTCTTTCCCTCTTCATCCGCCATTTTAATTTTCTTTATTCTTCTTTGATTAGTTATTTATTCTCTGGTTCATTCAATCTTTATTTCATATTTTTCATGTATCGCTTCCTCCATTCGTTCTTTCTTTAGATATCTTCATCCTTTTCTATTTTTTTTATATCTCTATATCCGTTCATTCTTCCTTTACATTTCTTTATCCGTTTCTTCTTTCTTTAAATTTCTTTATGTGTTCCTTCATCGTTTTATTTCTTTCTTCGTTATTTCTGTCTTTATATATCTTTCTCCGTTCTTTCTTCCTTTAGTTTTCGGTATCAGTTTTTTCTATCTTTGATCATTTTATCATTCATTCTTTCTTTAAATTTCATTATAATTTCCTTCTTCCTTTGCATTTCGTTACCCATTCCTTCTATCTTTAAATTCCTGAATTCATTCCTTCTCTGATTATGTCTCTTTCACCGTACGTTATTCCTGTTTATTTCTTCATCTTTTTTCTTAATTTCATCTTTTGATATATTTCTGTAATATTTCTTTCTTTGATTTTCTTTAAATTTAATTCTTCTTTTGTATTTTCTTTCTTTTCTAGTATTTCGTTTCTTTTGCTTTTTCGTTTCGTTTTCTTGATATTTTTTATAATTCTTTCTTTTTTTCTAGTTCTACATTTTTTGGTACTTCTTTCTTTTGTTTAAATTTCATTCGTTTTTTCTCTTCCATCTCTCACTGTTTTACTTTTTCTTTTTTTCTTCTTCTCTACTTCTGTTTTGCTACTTCCTTTATTTATTACTTATTTCCATAGTCTTTATTCATTTTTCTTTCTTTTTTTTCTTCTTTCATTCTTGTATTTTTCTTTCTTTTTTATTGGTTCTTTTTCCAGTCTTTCATTAGCTTGAGTTTGTACATTTTTTCTGTGCCATTTTTTCTCATTCTCCAGATCACTGAGTTCTCCTATTTACCCAGAATAAACATCTCGCACTTTTCTGCCATTTCATTCGACAAGAAAGAAATTCTTATCTCAACCACGAAAGTATTTTTACATTAGAAATGGCTGAAGAATGAGTTCTTTAGAATTGCATCCACTTCTAGATTCCTCGTTTATGTCTAAATCATTTCACAGTCGCTTTTTTTCATGCAAAGATTTCACGGTGCAGCACGTGTCGTGGAGTCAGCGCACTTAAAAGATGCATAACATCAAAATGGGAATCCCAATGCAGTTTAATATAGTTCGAAATATTTTTAGTTTAAAGTCTAGCTAAATAAAATATTAAGTCTACTTCTCAAAGATAAGAAATTCAGGAATATTTCTAGTTGTTTAAAGTTTTTAAAATAATCACCGTATGTTTCCGCGTATATGGGGACCTTTAGATAATACGAGATAAAGATTTAGCAAATTTTCATGAATTTATCCTATACCTGTAGTATAAGACGACTCCTTATAGATTATATAAAGATGATGTCATAGGAAATGTTGTTACTGTGTCGTTAGACATTCAAAATAAACAATAAAACTGATTCTATATCATGTTTTCCTAATCATGTCCCCTAAAAAGAAAACCATTGTTTTGTTTATGTTTCATCATGTGATCTCTTGCGAATACTGGTTCTTCTTCATTTTATTCCTTTAGAAAAATTTTAAATGCTACTACCGTAAAAAAAGATTTTTACTTGAAAATTAACAGTTGTATGTAATCCTAACTTGTGCTATTATTTAACACTAGAATGATAATAAATTTCTCATGAGAAATGATTACTATATTACCTTAAAAGTTATTACTGCCATACGGTAATGATTATTGAAGGTTTAGCGAAAAAAGATAAAGATTATGAATGCAATCATAACTCCATGCTTACATTTTCTCAGCTGAGCTTTAACGGATACAAGGTGAATTCATTGATATGGAATTATTCTTCGAATACACAATTTATTATGAAGTTATGCCAGTAATATTGTTGTAGTATAATGGATACGTTCCCATTCACATAAATACAGTAGTAAATACTGTATATTGGTCCGCATTTGGAGATACGTTTTATACGGGGTCTACGTGGAATTTTTGACCGAATCTACAGGCTCGGATACCACACATTAAATTCAGCCTTGTGCCACATTTGACCGCGTGGAGCGGTTGGTAGATATCTTGCAGTTGGTGATTCGGCACCAGCTGTGCTGGTAAAACTCGCTGCCTCCGGGCAGAGAGGATCCACAGACGAGGCTATGTCGAAGGGCAGACTAATCTCGGGAAACATCTAACCGACCCCATTCTATACGATATCAACGAAGAAATTTTTGGCCGTGCCTACGGGCTCGGATAACCCACATTAAATTTGGTCTTGTGTATTCAGTAACCTCCCTTAGGTTACAACAAATATATTAGGTAAAAAATTATTTTATTACTTTCTTTGTCACTTTATTTGATAATGTGAATATTTTCAAGTATGTATTTGTTATCACACTGTTGAAACTTGACTAATGCATGGAATAATAATACAACACAGAATGTACTTAGAACAAAATGTATTGAAACAAGAAAGTGTACACAATATTTACATATAGTCTTTTGTATATTCCTGGTAAGACCGTTCCTGGAGAATGTGTTGACTGAGTCGCAGTCGGGCAGAGTCTCTGGTTGAATCTCTTGATTCCGCACTCTCTTCCCGGTACCAACCATATTTATATGGTCGGTACTCCACTATGCAAATTAGGTGGATCCTACCACAACACCCCCCTACCAAGCCTTGGAATATTGTTGAAACTTGACTAATGCATGGAATAATAATGCAACACAAAATGTACTTAGAACAAAATGTATTGAAACAAGAAAGTGTACACAATATTTACATATAGTCTTTTGTATATTCCTGGTAAGACCGTTCCTGGAGAATGTGTTGACTTAGTCGCAGTCGGGCAGAGTCTCTGGTTGAATCTCTTGATTCCGCACTCTCTTCCCGTTACCAACCATATTTATATGGTCGGTACTCCACTATGCAAATTAGGTGGATCCTACCACAACACATACTGAAACTGAGATTAGCCTACCAACAAACATAAGTTAATATATAATATTTTTTTTAAATTGTAGTACATGACGACACCCACATTTTGTGATGGTGAGGATTTAAAGGTCGTCTTATACGCCGAAATATACAGTACTTATTTTTTTTTTTTAAAAGAAGTTTATCTTAGACTTGGAACTGAAGACTCGAAATCTACCATTTCTAAATGAACTAAATGAAAATGATTCTTGAAACTGAGGTTGCTTTCCTGTTAATGCTCATAAACTTCCGAATGTTTAGTTACCATATTATTTATTCATTCGACATATGAGAATTGTATTAAATTTACAACACAGTTTAAATACATGCAGCGATGTGCTCGAAGAATTTCTTATCGACAGTTTTAATCTTTCTGTTTCGATAGAGTTTTATCAGGGGAATGCAATTATACTTTACTGCAGAATTTCATATCTCTGACTAAATAGAGACGTCCATTTACATCTGAGAAGGCATTTGTCTTCTTCAAGCAGCTGTCTTCAGCTTGAAGAAGATTTTACCATATCCTAAGAGAACCAACACTCATAGCATTATTATTAATTGCAGACACAATTTTAATAACATATGATGCACAGAGGATATCTACTTCATCGCATATATGCACAAAAAGAAGGCGACTAAAAACTGCTATAAATGCGAGACGAAAGGACGAACGATATGATATAATTTCGTTAGCTAGACACGGACAGATATCTGGGAATTTGAGAAATCAGAATTACGTAATTCCTGACAGTTTATTAAGTAAGGAGTTATATAGCGGATGATGGAAATGATTACACTGAAATCAGAAGTACCATACAGAAAGCGTTTGATGCTTTCGAAAAGTTAAAATTACCTATTTTAAGCGACGGCAGCAACACTTACAATCCTGTAGCAAAGGCGTCATTTGTACAGGAACGCCACTAACGATTGATCTCTAAAAACGGTTTGTCCGAAAGGATCATTATACATACATACATACATACATACATACATACATACATATCTTATGGGGAAGCTCAACATGATGCAAAGGCTGGTTTGCTTGTCTCGCTAGAAAAATTACGACTATGTAGTGAGTTCAATCCTCGCTAAATGTCCTCTACTTGTGCCTCTTCTGAGTTACGCTCAGAAAATCAGCATATATATTGTGAATTTGGAAAGTAATACCTCTTGTATATGTATTTGAAGTACCCAAACAGACGATAGTAGGTTTATGTAGTTGATAAGCCAAATATTTGCAACCATATCGTCAGAGCGAGGTTTTATGGTCTTCCCTCACGTAAAAACTGACTCATGTTGAATGCCGACATGTTTAGCTTTTCAGTGCTAATATCCTAAGTCAATATTTTTATTATAATAAAGAAATCTTGGGCAGCGTATGAAACGAAAGCGATATAAAAAGAGACTAACATCATATTCATGAAGAGAGAATGTATAGTCATCGATAGAAGAAAAAAAAAACAAGTTAGATGTTATGAATTGGTGATGCCAACATGAAATTATTACAGAAATTTAAATATGTGAGTGATATTTGTAACAGATAATTGGAAATGAGACACCGGCAAGCGAAAGATATACTCCAAAATGTAAGAAAATTGATGAGAAAAAAATCACAAATGAAGAGAAAACTATAGGCCAGAAAAATGTGGTTCTGCAGAAGGATAATTACAGTTCAGTAGATGGAGATGAAGCAATGGTTAAGGCTTAATGAAAATGGCCCAATATATAAATATATATATATATATATATATATATATATATATATATATATATATATATATATGAATATATATATATATATATATATATACATATATATATGAATATATATAAATATATATATACAAAGAATAATCACACATAGAATTAATCAGAAGTATCAATGCGATTATTGGTGACATACATCGCTAGAAAACGTAATATATGCATTAAAATCCTGTTCATCCATAGTGCGAGTTTTGATCCTTGAAGAAAAACTTGTTGTCTGTAGTTTTTCAGTTTATTTGATGTTAAAATGCTAGTACTTACGGACAGTCTTCCATCCATCATCAGGCATGTGTTTTTTTTCCTTATAAAATCAAAAACTCGAGACGATATACCTGTATGTCGACCGAAAGATGTTTTTTGAATATCTGCTATTATTAACAGTTGTAAGATATCGGAACGTGCAAAGACGCAACGCTAAGTTTTTCAAAATTTTTTAAGTGAGAATTTTATTTAAATATTTCTTGTGATGTGTTAAATCCACGTATTCTATTTTTACAAATGTATTCAGTTTTTATGTCATGAACTAAGTATATAGTTCAATAATATAGTGTAATGTCATAGTAGTAATTTTTTGTAGGAATTTTTTTATGTACTTCGGATCGATAGTTTTTAATAAACATAAAACATTAGGCAGCATATGATTTACATACAAAGAATAATCACACATAGAATTAATCAGAAGTATCAATGCGATTATTGGCGACATCCATCGCTAGAAAACATAATATATGCATTAAAATCCTGTTCATCCATATTGCGAGTTTTGATCCTTGAAGAAAAACTTGTTATCTGTAGTTTTTCAGTTTATTTGATCGTTGGACTGTCATAGCTGAAACTACTCTTTAATGTTCCAAGCGTCTTATTGTATTGAGTTGAATCATTTCTAATTGATCTTTTTAGCTCTAAGTTTAAAGATTGATCACTTTCCTGTTGTGACCTGCTGATCAAATTTTTCTCTCTAACAGTTCTCTTGAGTGGACTTTGAAGATGGAAGCCAGAATATGTTGCTACCTTTACTGTAGGTCTGAATGAACATTTTGCTCATTTGGGAAGAGAGTGGGTCAGACACAAAAAGATTTTCATCTGTT